AAGCACGGCCACTTCAAATCCTGACCAATTGCACATTAGTGGTCAGACACTCTATCAAATCAAAGTTCTTGTAGAGTGTATCGGTCTGCACTGCTGACATATATTTACATGAACTAAGGATGTCTGATATTACGTTTTTGCCGATATCTGATATGCCGATATTGTCCAAACACTTAATTTCCGATTTCAATATCACCCAATACCGATATAGTCCTGGTAATATTTATTCATTTATCTGTACAAACCACTGTATGAGTATGAGATTAATTTAATGAGCAATGGTGCCATCTAGTGACTTTCACTTTAATATACAGCCGTTTATCCCCAAAACAATTTTTAGGGGACACAACATTTGGCGAAACACGGGCATTGCGTTATCGGGTTTTCATTATCGGAGGAAAAAAGGATGACGATTCTTACAGATATTACAAAATATGCTAATATCAGCCGACATTATCGGACACCCCTAACGCCTTCAACAAATTCAGATTTCCAGCCCCTAACTTGAACGCCTTCAACAAATTCAGATTTCCAGACAGAGTTCAGTCCTGTTGACCTCCGTACAGAACCTCTCTGTTCTACAGTGGTGACGCAAGTGGTTTGTGCAGAAAGTAGAGCATTTTTCATGACAGCAACTTTTTAAAATTCTTATTTTTGCCTGATGACACAGTTCAGTAGAGCTGTACTCTGAGTATCGGATATATATTCAACATGATTCAGCTGCAAAGAAAACCCATCTGTCCTCCTCGAATGTCCTTAAGCCAGATGCTCAAGTGGAATTTCACTGCAGTCAGCTCCAAATCGTAATGACTGGAAATGTAAAAAGTGCCTTATGAAACGGTGTTGGTTCAGATCCAGAACAAACCTGGTCTTCAGGCATCTGAATTTGATCAGGTTTGGGTTTTGTTTGTGCCACTGTTCTGTCAGTGTTCTAACAAAACATTTCCTCGCAAACTTTCTTTCCTTTTAGCCTTTTTAAAAAGCATCTTGTTACTAAATGCAGAAAGTGGAAACAGGAGCAAGAAAGACATCAAGCAGTGGTTCTCAAAGTGGGGGGCGGGCCCCTCATGGGCAGCATTTACATTTCTATGTTCATTTTTTTCCCGCCTGTATGTTTAATGATGGCAGCAGCTTAGTTTGGAGCTTGGCAATACTTCTATGTACAAAAGGGGGCGCTGCAGAAATAGTTTGAGAACCACTGCTTAAAACAAACAGAATTAGCAAAGCCCTTTAAAAACAGTACAAACTGTAAGAAAGCACAGTTAGTCAAATTCCACTCTAGACCCCGGCCTTACCCGCTTAAGACCCCCAGAACCAAGTTAAGCACAAAGAAGGATCCGATGATGATTAAGGTGACAAAATAGATCCAGGGCCACCTGTAATCTACTGCATCGTTCACCTACAGGAGAAGGAGGAGCGAGGCCGAAGATGGGGCGTAGAGAAGGGGGTACAAGGATGGATGGTCAAGGGTAAAGAGCGGGGGAAGAGGGTGGGTGAGGTGAAATTAGGGGGAATAGAAAAGGAGGTGAGGGATGGATGAGTTAGAGGTTTGGTTCGAGTCCCAGCAGGTGGACCGCATCAGTCACTGTGGAGAGGAAGTGTTACTACAACAGACGGTGCAGCGAGACTCCGAGAGCATTCAGATACTTCAGTGTTACTGTCTTTGTTGACTAAGAAGTACTGGGGTTCTGTTACTGTGTTTTTGTCACTGGGTTTGACCCACTGAGACCTGATGTTGTTGCTGTAAAACGATTGGTTATCTGTGTCTACTTCAGCCTCCTGTTTCAGACGGTGGAGAAACAAAACAAACCGAAGTTTCTTCTGTTGTGTTTTTCTGTTGTGTTGGGTCATTTTATTTTTTATTTATTTTTCTTCCCTCCCCTGCAAATGATCCGAGGACTGAATTATTTATTCCCAGTGTGTGTCCCTACAGGTGGGGTGGTGTTTGTACCAGAACAGCATGACTTGGCAGAGTGAAGTCAGAGAGCATCCTGCTCCACTGATACAGTACAGCGGACGATGTTTTAATGTGGTACACACAGCCTGCTGAATGAAGCTAACGTGCTATGTTGTTTGTGTACAGGTTTATACAGAGTACTTTCTCTGTTTTCTCCGTCTTCAGCAGAGGACGGAGTAAATAGAACAGAAAGAAAAAAACTGATTTGCTTTTTTTCCACCCTGAGTCCAGAGATGATCAGTTTGGCCGTGCTCCACTCTACACGACTCTGGCTGCCTGACTCATAAATGGCTCCACTGCTGAAATGAGTTTGATGCTATCACAGCTGATGGCTATTTCTGTGCTCGGCCTGGCTAATCGTCTGTCCTTCTTTTTGGGTATTCAAGATAGCAGTAGTATCTGCTGTAACAGAGATACTTCACTACTACTACATCTATTGCCTCACTGCTCTCATGCTACTATTAGTCCTACATTACTACTGCATCTCTACAATAATTCTTAATGATACTCCAACCTCTGCTACCTATCGTTCTTATTGGACTACTGTTTTCTAAAACTGCAACTACTACTGTCAGTACTTTTATGGCGACTACTTTTTCTGTTTCACTACAGCTAGTACTTCTTCTGTGTACACAACTAATTCTACAACAGATGCTAGTGTAGTACTAAAGTAGTACTATTACATGAGTATTATAACTAACACCATTTTTTGCTACAAATGCTTGTGCAACAACTCCTAATACTACTAGTTCTGTTATTTTTATTACAACAACTACTGCTATTACTACTGGTAATAGTTCTATTGCTACTGTAGTAAGAACCAAATACTCTAGTAGTAGTTTTTACTCTCACTAGTTGCTATTAAACTAGTTTCTAAAAACCCTGTAACACAGTATTACCTCTAAAACTACTACTCTCAACTACAGATACTTCTACTCTTTCTACTTGTACCCAAACTAGCCTCACTTCTACACTTGCTCCTACGTCTACCCCCATCTCCAACACTTACCTGTGCTATAACTTCCATTACTTCGACCATTCCTTTGAACATCATTGCAGGCTGTGGTGCAGTGGTCAGTGTTGTTGCCTTACAGATGACCCCAGTTCTAATTTTTCAGTGATTTTTTTATTTTATTTAATGCAACTCATCGGTGCCTGATTAAGAGTAGCTTAAGTTTTGATTAACTCTAAAATGAAGTTAACGGAGTCTTGCTGCACTGTCATTAATCTTTAATGAAAACACTTTCAATAAAATCTGGCTCCAGACAAATTTTCATGTGGAAACTGGTCTGGAAACATTTCATTTTATCTACAATTACCAAGGCCATTATGGATTGTTACAGATCTGATAGTTTTCGGCTTTCACACAACGTCAAACACCCGACACCGTACGTACACACATGACAAGAGTGTAACCTCTTACCCGCTCAACACACCCAGAACGAGATTGAGAACAAAAAAGGAGCCGAAGATGACGAGAGACACAAAATAGACCCACGGCAGCTCATAGCCCATAGCATCCTGCATCTGAGAGAGAGAAGAGAGAGGGCGGAGGAGGAGAGAGGAAGGAAGAGGGAGAGATGGGATGGTGGTGTCGAAGACGTGAGGCAGAAACAGGTGTGAGATGATTGACAGAGAGAATAATGGAGTGGATGTGTGGAGGCAGCAGAGGTCAAGGACAGACAGTGTGGAGGGAAAAACAAAGAGAAAAAAGGAAACAAGAAAAGAGTGCAGCCAGTTAAAAAGAGCCGTAGTAAGACCTGACTGAGGAAAAGTGGGAGAACAACTCTTTAATTCTGCCTTTTGGGACAGAAACTTTTCATATCTTCCAGAATTACAATCTAGCTAAACCAAAAACTGTCCAGGAAATCCATGTTCTGCATTTCTTTTAAAACTCCTCCCTAACTTAAAGAGTAATCAAACAGAAAGTGATCTTTATCACGGCTCATGTAACAGAGGGAGAGATAATGTGGACATGGAATTTAATTATAAGAGAAACGTCGAGATATTAGCCTCTAATTAAAGTGATGTAAAGAGAGGTTAGCTGACAATAACGTACCATGTACAGCTGAACAAATATTACAAGTTGCGATGAAGTAATTAAGTAGCTGCTGCTTTAATGCAGAGACCGCTGGACGAAAAAAAAAAAAAGGGGACGGAGCGGGAGGAACAAGGGTTCATTAGCTAGAATAGCACGGCACCAGATGTGAGGTCCAATCGGTTTTGGAAATTTGCAACAATAACAATAGAAATCCACGGCCAAAACGTAATAAGGCGTTTAAAAGTAAATATTTATAAAGGCCTAGGCTTGTCTAAATGTGTTTCTACAGTCGTTTGTACTTATTATCTGATAAATGGGACCAATTAGCCGCGGATGCAGCAGCACACGCTCTGCAGATCAGCAAAATGTGTAAACTGATGAGTATGCGTGCAAATGTATGTGCGTGTGAGTGTGTGTGTGCACGAGAGAATGCAGCAGCAGGAGTGTTTAGAAAAGGGTGCAGAGCTAGTAGGTCCTCTGTGGCATGTGTATACATGAACACACTCTCACACACACAGGAAACAAAAGGTTTGGGCTTCAAAATATTACTACGACTACTAATACTTTGACTATACATTCATCAGTGTTCTGCAGAACTGCAACTGTCCCAGTGTCAATGTTAACGTAGTTACACATTATTTTGACTTTCAATTGCTGTAGCCCAGGTCTCCTGAGTCACAGCAAGTTTTTTCAGAGCTTACTGTACATTAGTCATTAATTCAGATACACATTTCTATTCATAGTGATGACAGTTCCAGCAAGTGCATTTTTTTCCTTTATGTAAAACTGAAAACAGCCTTTTATTAGACTGAAAAATTACCATATTTTCCTGAGTATAAGTCGCACCAGCCAAAAATTCATAATAAAAAAAACAAAACAAAAAACAAACAAACAAACAAACAAACAAACAAACAGAGCTACAGGAAAACCCAATACTGGCACACAAGCCAAGAGTGCCCTCTAGCGGCTGTCATATAAAATAACAAAAACATAAATTTTCGGTACTACAGGACTAGCCAATACTGGTATGAAAGCCTAGAGTGCCCTCTAGTGGCACCAGGAGCTACACAGCCGCAATACAAGAATACATTTAAAATTTAAATTCCCGCGTTGCACTGAGGGGGCGACATGTTCCTCATGTGGAACTGATGTAACAGCTGTTTTTTATCTGTCTCAAATATCAACACAAACACAATATTTCAGTGTCCGACTCACCCAGTACAGCACGTCCGTCCAGCCCTCCATGGTTATACACTGGAATACTGTCAACATGGCGAATGCAAAGTTGTCAAAGTTGGTGATGCCCTCGTTCGGACCCTCCCATCCCATCTTGCACTGTGTTCCATTCTGCGTACAGTGGCGGCCATACGAGCTGTCAGGTGCACACGGTGCCGGCTTTTCTTCTGCAGGCGTTCCTGTGGAGAACGAACAAGGAACGGTTCTACTGAATTTAAAGAAATCTACTAATTATGAGGAACTGTAACCTGAAATTCACACAGATATTATGCAATGTTCATCAGTTTGCTGGTGATTGGTGCCAAGGGTTATAATGGCTGTGAACCTCAGCCAACTGCAGTTGGGGAAAGTCCAACATTAGATTGTAATTAGAGCAGAAGAGTACTCGAAAGGTTGTACTAATGAAGTAAGAATAAAATTGGGTGAAATTGACTAAATCTTAAACTCCTGCCGGTCGCCAAAGGACGCGAAAGTGAGACTAAATTTAAAATGGGAGTGAGTAAAAAATAATAAGAAAGGTAATGATACAAAACAAACCACTAAGTGGTTTTCAGTGTTGGACAGACTAAAAATAAAGTCATGTTCAAAGGCCTTTAGAGTTTAGACTGGCACAGAATTTCAGCTGAAAAATCTAATGCAAAAGCAGCAGATGGATGGGTTGATTGGGAATGTGGAACAACTACCCGTTAGGAAAATCTTGTTCCAGTTCGAAACTGATTAATGAAAACATTTTTGTTTGCTGCACCAAATATTTAAAAAATATTTAAAAATGACAACAACTCCCACAATTCAACAGTTGCTCATCGTCTCAAAGACTCAAATTATTGCTATTGTATTTACACTTGAGAATAGTCGCAATTAAAGGAGAACGTATGAAAGGGTGAACGGACACGGTGGCAGTCACATAAAAAACAAATATTTAAAAAGACAAGACCAATTAGATCAAACAGGCTCTCAGGAGTGGTGTGTAGGACAGTCCACCAGCACTTACCCAGCACACACAGCTAATGCCTCTCATGGGACCTATAACATCAGAGCAACAACACTGAAGTCCATTTATACCTGGGGGCCTCTAATGAAAATGGTTTCAATCATTGATGGAGGCTGCTGTTTCAATTATCGCTCAAATCTTTCATACTCAGAAACATAAATGATGTCGTGAATAATGAATGTGGGTCTCGTTCGAACTGTTTAGTAATAGGAAGTACACTCTCCGCTGCGGCCACGGGCTGATGTCTCTCTGAAACCACCGTATTACACTGAGCTCAACAGGAAGATGATGGAGACCCCAGCCGTCGCTCAGCTTTTACGTCTTTTTTTTCCCTCTACTGGGCTAGAAACAAGTCCGTCTGAATATTCTCTATGCTTACTGGAGCGTGTTTTCACACACAGTTGACATATTCTCTATGCTCACTGGAGCGTGTTTTCACACACAGTTGAATACATGCTTTAATATGTGTATCTGATCGCTGGAGACCAGTGTGTGAGTGTGTTTGATGATGCATGTTTGGAGCTGCAGCTGTGCAGCTCAGAAGAATGATCTCTGTCACTGGTCTGTGCTGCTCTGTGTCTCTGTCTTTCTGTCTGTCTGGGCTTTTGTGCAGCCTGGTGTGTAGCATATTTGTGTATTTGTATGTGTGTGTATGTACCTGAATGCTGATGGATGCAGGTCTTGTGCATCTTGCCCATAAATAGCTCCAGGCCGATGATGGCATAGATGATGATGACAAAAAGGACCAGGAGGGCGATGTGGAGCAAGGGAACCATGGCTTTAATTATGGAGTTTAACACAACCTGTAAACCTGGATGAAGAAAAAAAAGTTATTAAAAGTGTGAATCAAATGCAACCACATTTAAATGATGTGAACATATATGAGACTTAAACGGGAAGTTAGCTAAACGAGGCTAGAAGGGAAGTAAGATAGTTTTCTTCTGCTGTTAGGGAGACACACGTTAAACAGTGACTGGTCTAATAATACAGTAGGTTTCCAAAGTACAATAGTACAATACTACAACAATAAAAAATACGTTAGGTGTAAACAAGTTGTAACATAGGCTAGCATTATTTTGGAAAAATCTTAGTAGGGGGGAGAGAAGCAGACCTAAAAAAAAAAACAAATACAAAAAAAACAAACAAAAAAAAAAAACCTAAACCCAGGTTTTGTTAATACAGAGACTACTTTTCATCACAGCTATATATTCCATTCACAGCCTTAATATCACATAGCATTTCAGCGTTCAGTAAATAAGGGTATCATCTGCGAAAGAGATGAAAAGTCGTGTTCCTTTGATTTTCTCCACCTAAAATCACGTTTCTTTTTTTTTTTTCAATTCTGACCGTAGCTGTGGAGAGCTGCTTCAAATGTCGTCACAATTTTTAAAACATTTTAGTTCAGGTCTAAATTGGTGATGGCGTCCCCATGAAGACATATTTACAGACTCGGTTCAGCTCAGCCACACGTTCGATCACTCTCACACTTACATGGCCTTCGGCCACATGTGTTCATTTCCTGTCTTCTACTCGGTCGGATTATTGATTTCTTTAGCCACTAACGCAGACCAGTTGACGGACAACTCATCTACTTTTCTTATTTGTCAAACACCGAAATCAGCTTCAATCTGTGGTCAATCTCTCTCGTCGCTCACACTGTCTCCGTTCACACCTGATCCCCGGAGGATCATCTTTCACTATCTCTTTATTCCCGTCACTCGGCTGCCGGTACTTACTTGGTACTCCTGACACCAGCCTGAGGGGTCGGAGTACTCTGAAGGCCCTCAGAGCCTTGACATCGAAGCCTGCTGCCTTCCCTCCAATAGGAGTGGCGCCGTCCCCTTTCGTGGCCTGCTCCAAGATTGCGCTGAATAACCTGCGAGGAGAAAGTAATGACTTCAATAACCAGCATTGTCAGCCGGGCGATCCATTCCCCCGTACTGGAGAATATATGAGAGCGAGAGACGCAGGGAAACAATGAAAGAAGAGAAGGGCATAAAGTGACAGAGTGATGAATATCCAGCAGTGATGACATTACGCTCTTACTGTACATTTCCTGTCGTCACTGATGTCAATATGAAACCCATCAAAACATCAAGCGACTTCTAAAAATATGGAAGTGGTGAAAACATTGATTTAATGTTTCACAATCAAACGTGTTTTCTTGGAGAGGAGGCGAGAGCAGGAATAAAACAGCTTTGTTCGTTTGCTGATCAACACAACAAAACAAAAATGATTCATCTGTTCCTTCTGTTCATCACAGCAAATGTAACAATATGAGATTCACAACGTGGACGGTTTGACAATGGAGCTGGAAGGAGTGGCCTTTGACGCTGTCGAGGTGGGGGGAGGGAGGGGCATAAAGGTATAAGGGAAGAAGGCTGCCACCTAGTTGTCAACAAAGTGTTTCTTTTAGCTACAGGACATTGTTCCCAGTCATTTTACAGATGTCTCCTAATACAGCGGTCTCCAACCTTTTTTGTATCAAGGACCTGACGGCCTGTTTTAGCCGTCACTGCGAAACAGTAATACCACGCTGTCGTTGAAGGATCGTTACATTTTCAAAATAAAACACCTTAGTATTACAGTCTGAATGACCTTTTGTTTTGAAGAATTCACTTTGAATGAAAACGTAAACGGATATGACTGGATTCTTTGAAGTAAATGAATGAAACTGAAGTACATTATTTCACTTTGTCCCAGAACCACATTACCTATGGACCGGCACTGGTCCCTGGACCAGAGGTTGGGAACCCTGTCCTAATAGATGGACCTTATGGTTAAATTTGTCTAAGCAGCTTAAAGGTTCCTCCAGTAATGGCTGCTGACTGTGTTTTATTGTCTTATTTTCCACGGAATAGGAGCATCCTTTCTAAAACTGACTTAAATTTACCGACGGACATGACTGTTTATTTTACTTATATTTCAAATCCAGTCAACTACAAGTGACAGGGCCACTTTGTCATCATCACCGCGAAACAAAACAAGCACTGTCAGCTAAAAACAAATCATTTTCCGTAAAAAAAACAACTCCAATTTCAGACATAATACGATAAGTGTCTTCTTATGCTGCAGGGTTAACTGTTATCAGGGTTAGATATTATCCAAGTAAGAAATTATTTACTGGCATGTCTCTGGCATGAGTGGCTCGCAAATTTAAATTTATGTTGGTCCAGCTCAGCTTATTGCTCTCCTCTCCTCTCCTCCTCTCCTCTCTTCTCCTCTCCTCTCCTCTCCTCTCCTCTCCTCTCCTCTCCTCTCCTCTCCTCTCCGTCTCTCCTACATCCTTTAGAAATCACCATACAATACCATTTTCCAGCTCGCGGGGCTCAAAGGCCAGTCAGTGGTGCATTAGTCACGGAGAATTATCAATTAGCACAGATGAAATGGCCACTTGAAAAGGCCTCTCAAAACATATCACCCTCTCTCCCTCTCTCACCCTCTCCATTCTCTCCCATTTAAAGGCAACTCTCACAGCGCAGGAAAACCACGTCAAGAAGCCGTAGTTTTGTTTTCTGTTTTTTTTTTCACCACTGGGTCCAGACCTAGCATGTTTATCCTGTGACGAGGTGTGAAAATGGAATTAGAGCACTTCCGAGTAGCGCCGCATAATGACTTGTGTACATTCAGAGCTGAGGACAGAGACAGTGTGTGTTCATTCATAAAGCGAATAGCAGGCGACACTGTTTAAATAGCAGTTGCTAGTAAATGATTAAACTAAATGTAAATGATTAAAATGATTTTAAAAAAAGAAATAACTGATAATAGACAACGATACCAAAAAGACCACAGTGACTAATAACTGAAATAAAATATTATGAAATGGACTCATTCAGTAACAATACACGATCATTATTTATTTATTTATTATTATATATTATTTATGATATAATTCAGGTTGTGAGCGGGATTTTTACCATGAACACAATGTCAAAGCTACAGCACATTTGATAATAAAATTTATATTATGTATGATATAATTCAGGTTGTCAGTGGGATTTTCACCAAAGCTACAGCACATTTGATAATAAAAGTATTCAAATTTTAAATTTAAATTTTAATTCACAGCATATACAAACTGTATAACTCATTTACTGAAGCCTCTAATATTTAACTCTAACAAAGCTGCGAAGCATACTAACTGCTCATTTACTGAAGCCTCTAATATTTATCTCTAATTTAACTCTAACAAAGCTGCGAAGCATGTGTGTGTGTGTGTTCATGTGTGTGAGTGCGTGTGTGTGGTCCACAGGGCGGTCGGCATCAGGTACAGGCTCTCTCACCCATATGGTCACATTTCCAGAGGGAGTGAACTCTGTCACTCCTCATCCACACACAGGCAGGGTCAGGGAACAGCCAGTGAATGGGAACGAAGCACGAGTGAATGTGGTACGCAGTACTGACTGTGTGTGTGTGTTTGTGTGTGTGTGTGTGACTGAAACAGAGAATAGTAAGCAAAAACGATTGAAATCTTAAAAATGTTGTTTTTGATGTCAAGGTTGTGAACTGAAACAGAGAATAGTAAGAAAAAACGATTGAAATTTTAAAAATGTTGTTTTTGATGTCAAGGTGAAATTTTGTTGGCCCACTTCTGTTCCTGTCAACAGAGACTGTGAATTTTTCTAAAACACTGACATCAAAACATTAGCATCAAAAACAAGGCTAAACCATTCTGAGCATGTTATTATTATACTGACTATTCACACTTTAAAAAAACCAAAACCAAATCTCCTCATTCTCTGCCTCCGTCGTCCAAATGTTTCCACACAGGCGTCGTGTGTGATGTGCCTCTGTTGTAACTCACCTGCTGTGTGGGACGGTTTTTGACTTATTTTTAGCAGCTGTTAGTGAAGGATAATGTGGGTGAACGTGTGACTGACAATGGACCAGGCTCATCCAGTGCTCGTGTGCATTCAACAGTGGCTTCATTCAGACTTTACTGCTTCTCTTTCCCCTTTTCTGTATAAATTACTGTTGCAAATGGAGCTCCGTGCTAAACCCTTACTCCTCCGTAACACTCGACTCAAGACCGTGAATGGAAAGTACGTGCATGGGTCTCCACACACCTGTACAAATATACTGTCATCCCTTTATTTACTTTTTTTTTGTATCTTAAGTAAAATGTGTTCAACCTGATGTTGATTTACTGCAAAATCTAAGAGTTTGTCAATTTTTGTCTTGGTGCAAAACATTCAAGTGTAAACATTTTAGAAAAGCTAGTTATTGACCCTAAACTGTCTCTCTAACACGCTGCTACTCTGAAGTTCACTGCTAGCATTCAATGAACCACCACAAAAGAATGTTTTTATTGCATTAAACGCTTGCAGTCAACCGTGTCGGTTTCTTGTGTCGAGACCAGGAACTAAAAGAAAACACCAGGATTTTTCAAATGAACCAAAAAAAAAAAAAGTCTTGGCGAGAGGAAGCTTACTTTTCTGGAAGTAATGAAACACTTGAAGCTAACAGAGAGCTGCACGGCACAACGTCATTATTGATTATTTTCATGACGGACCAGGACCAGGACTCCAAGCAAACCAATGAGACCTGGAATAACAACTGCTGAAGGTGTGAACTTAATGGACTCTAAGGATTTTCTATGGACTTTTTCGACAGTTTTTGAGGCTGAACGTTTTGATATCATGGCATCGTGACCACAGCAGACATCAACATTCTTCTAATAATCTGGAATAAGACCGTTTGCATGTTAAGAGAGGTTGGAAATATGAATTCTTCAAGAAAGACTCCTCTCCAGAGCCCAGCACTTTGACAACATGTAGCCTCGGAGAGAGATTAGATTTAGTCTGGCCGTGGAGTGGTTTGTTGATTCATACTGGGGCGCCGCCATTCATTTTCCAGTAATGTGTTTCATGGTGTGAGAGAGGACGAGGAGACAGCACTTCAGTTCACTCACCCCACGACCACGATGATGAAGTCCAGCAGATTCCAGCCGTTCCTCAGGTAGGCGTTTGGGTGGAAGAGCAGGCCGTAGGCTATTACCTTCAGGAACGCCTCCACTGTGAAAATGATGAGGAACAGGTACTCCACACGCTCCTGCAGACACAGACAAACAGACGGTTCCATTTATTAGTTCCTGCCGGCGTACCACAGAGCACTGGGTGAGCATCGGAGGAAAATGAAACGAGACAAAATGAAATTGTTTAGTCACACACGTTCAAGTTTGGATTAATGAGGCTCAATCCTCTGCTGCTCTAATTTATTATTATATTTCTTACTGTTTTATTTTGAAGGTCTGAAGTTGTTCAAATTTCACACTCAAGGCTACGCAAACTGTGGCCTGCGGGCCAACGGCAGCCCCGAGAAACACGGAGAAGGACAGAGAGGATCACAGCTAGCACGCTAACTGAAGCGCAGACCAACGCTTTGTTAAACCTTAATGAAGGAAGGAGCTGAAGGAGATTATGATTGTGATTCCAGCCTCTGTGTAGAACTATGGAAGACCAGAAAAATTAATATAATTTTATTTTTTAGTCTTTTTTTAAAACAAAATAAACATTTCCCGCAGGAATATTTTAAACGTAAAATAATATTCTTTAAATATTCATTTTAGATACTTAATTTTTAACATGGCGTTAGTTTTTTGCAACATCAGGTTTTTCGCCGTTACTGCCCAGTAAACAGGGGCTGTTAACTGTAAAAGCCCCTTTAATGTGAGTGAGATTATGTTCACAGCTGCTGTGTTAAGATTTGCTGCTCCCTCTGATGGAAGGTTAAAGCAAGTCCAGCTAAGTAAACAAGTTTTTCTCTCCGTGCAGAAATTGCAGATTTCTCGTGCACACTGACGCAAGTGCATGACACACACACACACACACACACGCAGACGTATTATCAGGGCCATGGGAATCGGTCATTCATGTAACCAGTGTTTTGACAGAACAGCTGTTCTCCCACCCTCCTCCAAACCAGAACAAAGGTGTTTGTTTGTTTCAGCTGGATTATCACAGAGACGTTGGAGAGTGAATCACAGCTGACTCAGGATTACAACCTGCTGCATCTTTCACCCACTGATGGCTTTGTCATAGCGAGTGGGAGATTTCCTACGCTACAACAAAAGGCGTCAGGAAGAGCTTTTTGAACTGCGATGTGTTTAATGACCAATGAATTGTCCAACTGGTCGGTTGCCGTCAGAGATCAAAGGAAGTTGGAACACTTTTACTGCAAATGATTTGCAAATTTTCAACGCTAACTTTAAATAATTTTTGAGCTAAGGCTAAGCTAATCTTAAACATCATTTTATAACTTGTTTAATATTCTTTTCTGGGTCGTTTTCAAAGCTCAGCGTTAGTCGCTTGGATTTCAACTATTTTAAGATCATTAACAGGTGAATGTATGTGTTTTGTCTTTAGAATTAATTTACATTTTAGTCATGTTTCACTTATTTTTGCTGAATTTAAATTTCTTGGCAACATCACTTGGCCACTAATTAAACTTAAAATTAAAATTTAAAGGTTTTTTTTGTTATGTATTTGTATCCATTTCCATTAATCATTTTATGTGCACTTTTAGCCAATTGGCTAAGATCCATTGAACTGGAGCTAATTCTGTAAAATCTTTAGTTCATTTTAATTGAATTAAATTTACATTAAATGTTCAAGAAAAGCGGCCATAGTGGAAATCAGATCTGAACTGGACATTTTAGGTAAAAACTATTTAGAAATGCAACAGAAAAACCTTTTCTATGATTGATAATCACATGTTAAAATACAGAACAATACAGAACTTTTTTTCCATTGACTTCTGGTCCTATGTCTAACAGGGATGATTGTTAGATTCTTAATGTGCTGCTCTAAAATAAAAAACAAACAAACAAAAAACACATGACCTGATTGGATTAACATTGTTTTTTTCATCCAAAAAAAAAAAAAAAAAAAAAAAAGGAGAGAGGGCCCTGTACCACACAGAGGTCTGTGGAAGTAATTCATCTAAAACAAACACACACATCAGCTCTCCACTCCATCTATACTCAGACACACACGCACACACACACACACCCAGGATGTGTGTGTGTTGCTGACGGGCAGACAGTTCGGCGCTCTGACGAATGAATTGGTGAGAAAAACATCTGGTAGGAACAGTTCGACACAAACGTGTACAGATGCACGCTCTCTTCCTTCCGTCTGTTTCTGTTCATACAGATTTGTAAAGAATGGAAATCTATACGGGACACAGATTAATCTGTTTAGTGACTGGGAAGAAGTGGAGGGAGGGAAAAAAGAGGGGAGAGGAACAGGGCGAACAAAAAAGAGGAAAAGAGAGAGAGAGGAGAGAGAGAGGCCAACGCAGACAGAATGACAGAAAGGTGAGTATGTGGGGGGGCAATAATTCACTTATCTGTAATAGGTCAAGCAAACTGCCCATCCATCAACCGGGCCAATCAGATTACGGCATCGACATTCTAGCATGTAGCGGACACTGTTTGCATTCAGCCGTGACCTTCAACGCATGTGGTGGAAAAACAGGTTATTTTCCAAAGATTCTTCAGACGCAGCGTTCATCACACGTCAGCCATTCAACGTTCTTATACTAAGTGTGTGTAGGGAGTCGGGCTGACAGTTCAGTTTAGAGGCAGCGGCTGCAGTGGATGTGTCTGTGGCAGCAGGTGAATTATGTAGCAACAGTCAAGGTGAGGACAATTCAAGAGCAATTTCCCCTAACATTAACATAATGTGTTATAATGTGTGTTATCTTTTTTATTCCCTTTTTATTCATGCTACTACAGTAAAAATCACTCTAAGTGAATATTGTAGGATTGAGCTGAGACCGAATGAAATAAAATCAAAGCAGACTCATGAGAAATCATTCTCAGCAATTTCCTATTTTTGAAGTCTGTTGTAAAGGTGAAATATGTACAGTTTCGCAAATTTTAAGATTCATTTCGTGGTTACAGAATTTTCCGGACTATAAGTCGCTCAGAAGTATAAGTTGCATGAGCCAGCTAGAGTGCCCTCTAGCGACTGTCAGTGTGAAAATAACAAACGTGAAAATTACCTGAGTATACCTGAATTACCTGTATTGCATCCTTTGGCTGCAAACCCAGCCAAAGGATGAAAAAAAAGTGCAACTTATAGTCCAGAAAATACAGTTTATATTTCACATCTCACCTCTAATACCTCTGAATGTAGTAAAACAAACCTTGTAATATTAAAATAAAAAATTTAGTTTGTCAACTGGGGATTAAAATTCAGCTAATACTAAAATAAAAGATTTAGTTTGTCAACTGGGGATTAAAATTATACCAGAATAAACAATACCAGGCCAATACCAGAAAAACTTTCATTCTTTATCACATTTCTGCCAATACAAATTCCCAATTTTTTTTTCCAAAAGTCATTGCAAACAACTTATTGCAGTTTTTGCATGATCCTATTGTCCAAAGAATGATCTAGAACCATTGTCTCCCTTTTCTTCTTCCTCCCCTTCTCTAATTTCTGACTTTTACTTCTCCACTTCCTCTCGTTCCTCCCCCTGTTGCTCTCTTTCTCTGTACTTACTAACCAGAAGTTACCATAGAGACCAAGATGGGTTCTAATGTTACCATGGAAACTAAACTGCAGTGACAGCAGTAGCCCCCCCCCTCCCCCCCCGCCCCTCTCTCTTTCTCACTCACATGGACCAGTGTTGCACCAAGAATAACCCCAGAGTTGGTTCTAATTACTGCTCCTCTGTCATCGTCAACGTTTCCTGTTGTGTGTCTGTGGACGACTGTTTGATGTTGTTCATGTTTAAAAAAAAAATCTGGATACTCCTGGACTGTATGTGTGTGAAACTCTACTTCATGTACTCATTAAAAAGTTAGTTTTAGGGTTAGAACGTGTGGAAGTGCAACTGTGGTTCTCTCTATTGGACATTTATTTATTACTTTTATTATTTTATTTACAAAAAAGATGAGTGAGACATCTAAATGGAATGAAAAACAAAATCAGAAGTAATCAGGAAGCAAATGCAAGCTAAAAACTTGACGTACTGTACATGGGGACAAAAGGCTACATATGTCGGTATCGCTTGATATTGGAATCAGAAATTGAGTGTTTGGGCAATATCGGCATATAAGATATCGGCAAAAAGTTAATATCAGACGTCCCTAAAGTTGATTTTTTAAATAAATTGAGTTGGGTTTTTATCAACCAAAAACTACATTAGACGAGGGTTAAAGTTATCAATTGTAACAAAATGATTCCAACATGAAACAGAACCGTATTGAACCCCTGATGTTACTGCAAACGTGTCAATGTTTCAATCTGTGTGATGTGTCACATGACTTTGAGCCTCTTTATGAGCCTGTAGCTGTTGACACGCCTCCTGCCCAGATGTCTCATTAACAACCCACACCTCTAATCTGAGGCATCTGGATGAGGATTATGTTTGATTGGAGATTACACTTGTGTTAGTGTGAATGAGAATGTGTGTGTGTCCATCACACAGAAAAAACAAACAAGGCTTTTTTTTTATTATGACATCGCTGATCTGCTTAATAAAACATTTACATTTTTATCCTTCATCTTCTCTGTTTGTCTGTTTTCTCCACGATCTTGAATATCAAAGTTTACAGAAAGTCAAATAATCCTGTTACCAGGCAACAGGAAGTGCCTGAATATCTTTGAAAAAAGGAAAGAAAAAGTAGATAAAGAAATTAATAAAGTAAGATTAAAGTAGGATTTAGCCGATTGTTTACTAATAAACATATCAGCCTCATATCAGCCTGTCTTGACGACAATCATGTGACTATCATATATAAACAAACAAATATATATATATGGTATATATATAGTATATAAATATATACAAATATGAGTATATATATGTATATATATACATATATGCAAATATATGTATATATGTATACATATATTTATATATATATATTTATATATATGCGTGTGTGTGTCTACTCATACACTTTATGTAAAAGTGCCTTTTAAAGCACCCAACTAAATATAAATACATACATACAGTATGGATACATACACACTGTATGTATGTATTTATATATTTTTACAGTAGACAAATAATTACACATATACTGTACATATAAA